ATGGGTGTGACATTTGATACTGCACAATCCTCCAGTAGTGGCTGATTTTAATGAAAGATTGCATATTTTTATTCATTCTGAAAATCCTTCAGAATGCTTGGATGAGTTCCATCTAGTCCTCATGACTCATTGTGCTTCAATTTTTTGGAACAATTTAGCAAGGGTCGTGGTGGATTCGCCAACACTGACCATTTTAAAATCAAAATTGGATGTTTTGCTAAAAGATATACTCTAGGAATTATTTTGGAGAAGTTCTATGGCCTGTGTTATACATGAGGTCAGACTAGATGATTACAATTGTTCCTTCTGGCTATGGAATCTATGAATCTCTAAATTTATGAATTTGCTCCAGGACCAACTCTTTTGACACCTCAATTTTTGACAGCACATCCTCTATTGCCCGAGAAGAGCAGGTCTAAGGCAGGTATGTCTCCAGCATTCTCTGCTGTGAGGACTGATGCAATCAAATAATGCAGAGAAGCTGAATGTCCTTATTCGCCTTCATTGCACCCTATAAACCCTGGTCCTGATATACTTAAATAAGTTCTTGCTATTTGTTTTTGTCTTTGGCTATTTGCTCTTCAAAATTTCTCTTAGTCCTAATTACATTTTAACATTGTAGCCTTTCCTTAAATTAAATGAATAGCACTGTGTTAAACAATAGCACCCTCTTTAGCCCTGAGGCCTCGTATGGCTAAGCCAAAATCTTACAGGCCTTAGCCTGTAGGCCTTGCATTACAGCCTTACCTTGCTTATATACCTAATATTCACCAGGGACACTGATTTAACACAGAACTATCCATTCAATTTAAGGAAAGGCTACAACCTCCATAATGTATGCTCCTTTATTAGTTTCACTGGGTTGGATTTCCATTTTTTGAAGAATACTGGGTTGGCTGGAATAACCTATTCAGAATCTTGTATTACTCTTATCACTGTAGGAGCTGACAGCCTTCCAGTAGTGTGTTAATTGCTGTTAAACTGTGCAATTTAACTGTAGTATTTTCCTCTGCTTTTCTAAGTTCTTTACTGTTAGGATGCACGCCTCTTGTGGTTCTGTTATCCTGTGCTTAGCTTCCATGCTGAGTTTTTCAGGCTTTTAATTTCCTCTTTGACTTAAAGGAGATTGTTTCAACTAGCTTCCTCAGTTTTTGTTTTACATCCACATTTCTAATGTTTAGTGTCTTTTGCACTGATTTTTCTCCAAGGATGTTGTACTTAATTATCCTGCAGTCATTGCTACTCAGTTTCTCAACCATGATCACTTCTTAAACCAGCGCTTTTGTGTTGCCTAAGACTATGATGATAATTTCTCCTCATGTGAGCTCTAGAAATAGTTGTTCCAAGACCCCATCATTTAAGCAGAAATATGAACCTGTTGAGTAGAAGGAATACACAATCAAATGTACTCCTCTCTTACACTGAATGACCACCTTGTGGGTGAAGATGAAGATAAAATTGTTTCTCAAAACCTTGTCGCATTTTGGTATTTAACCTGTTTGTATGAAAATAGTTCAAGTCATCTGTTATGGCTTTTTCATTATATTTAGTTGCTTCTTTGGCCTCCCCGGCAGTGTGCAATGTAACTTTTTCCTGATCAGGAAGCCAGTAATATAATACCTTTAGACCATTGGTTCCCAAACTTGTTCTGCTGCTTGTGCAGGGAAAGCCCCTGCCAGGCCGGGCTGGTTTGTTTACCTGCCACGTCCGCAGGTTCGGCCAATCGTGGCTCCCAGTGGCTGCGGTTCGCTGCTCGAGGCCAAAGGGAGCTGTTGGAAGAGGCACAGGCCAAGGGACATACTGGCTGCCGCTTCCAGCAGCTCCCATTGGCCTGAAGCAGCATACCGCGGCCAGTGGGAGCTGCGATCAGCCGAACCTGTGGACACGGCAGGTAGACAAACCAGCCCGGCTCGCCAGGGGCTTTCCCTGCACAAGCGATGGAACAAGTTTGGGAACCACTGCCTTAGACGTTGGGCATCAGCAGCTGTGAGGAGTAAATCGCCTGCTGACATCAGGAATGTCCCCACCTTTCCCAGCATAAGTCTAAAAGCTTGAGATGCCTTGACATAATAAGATATTAAAGATGAAGAAGTTGCTGCTGCTGCTGTGTGGTCTGGGATAATCTGAAATACAAACTTTCAGACTGCTAGTTTGGTTTATTGCTGTAACCTAGGGATATGCTTTTATGGCAACTGAGCATTGCAAGTAGGTGGTGCAGCATTTCAGCTTTAATAGGGTATATTAGCGTATACCACACCTGTTTATAGGCCTCCACATTAAGGGATACACTTTCATACACAGTTGCAGTCGATGCTTTGGGGAAAATGTATCTCCACTCGTTGCCCCCACAAAATCCTACAGCTGTTCTTACAAAAAGGTAACTGTGAATTACTATGTATGTACTTGAAGAAGCTGCAGTCACCTCATTGTCCACCTTCAAATCCCTTCTTAAAACACTTCTCTCCTGATGCCTACAAAAAACTTGACATTGGCTAGGTAGCTGATGGGCTGTGAGCGTGGCTTATCACACTGTCATAGTCATCTCATGGGTGCCTAGTTCTTCCATGTCAATTTGAATCCTCTTTTGTCTGATACCTAGATTATGAACTCTTGTTTTTGAGTTTGTGTGGAGCCTAACACAACAGGGCCCTGATCCCTGAATAGGGTTCCTAGAGGTAAGCACAGTACAAATACTAACAAATGTCTGTTTACCTACGTATGTGTAGGGTTTATACGCTCAAACACTGCACGTGAAAAACATGTAGGCCGAGGTCTGGAGGCTAGTTGTGGGAATCATGAAATATCTTTTTGCAGAAATAATTTACAAGCCCAAATATTCAGAATTTGTGTCCACATGTATATGGCTGTTGCAAGTGCAATTGTGATAATCTCATGTACCAATTCTATCTGTGTGGTTTATAAACATTTGGGTCATATTGTTGGCCAGGAATGTTACTATATTAGCCTGACTTGTCTTGGACGTTGGCAGGGGACACTGCAAGATTTCAGAGGCCATTTACATAAAGCCAGCCTTTCCAAATTTAGGGCCAGATCATCAGCTGGTGTAAAGCCCCATTGAAACAAATGGAGCCATATCATTTTATACTGGTTGAGGATTTGCCTCTTCATTTTCCCTTAACTGGCCTCAATGTTCCAAAATATCTTGTGTTGCCGTTCTGCTAAATCAGCTTTAACTTTAATTAAACTATGGATTGCAGTGGGGCACTAACAACAGTAAATCGGTTACTGGATCTAGTGAGGGGTTGGGAGATTGCTCTGGTAACATTACTGCAACATTTGCTGGTTTTGCACTCCAAAGAGACACAGACTCTCACCAGACAGCCACTAGACTAACAGTGACAACGGTTAAGTTCGGTTGCGATGTCTCATGAAAAATGCATTGTGTACTCTGATACAGCATCAGGCATAATGACTATAGCTGTGATAGCCTGCAACACCTCCTTGGCAAGCACAAGGCAGTTCTTGTAAAATTAAAAAGTTCCTGAAATTTGCAAATTTAGGGCGAGACTAATTAAGATCTTGGGAGAGAGCCGCATGTTTTAAAATAGGTTGTACTGCACAGCTTGTACGTGTGCTGGTTTTATTCTGGCCTCAGAAGGCCTTTCTCAGTACCACCCTTACATAAACCTTATAAAGCTTATGCTCAAATTGGTTAGTCTCTCAGGTGCCACAAGTACTCCTTTTCTTTTTGCGAATACAGACTAACACGGCTGTTCCTCTGAAACCTGTACATAAACCAATGGACCTTGTGAAAATAAACATGCTTTTGGCAGCTGAGAGTTTGTAGCCTGAGCCTGCCTGGGGGAATGGTTGAGTTTTAAAGGCAGATGAGCTAGTTACCAGCTCTCTGTAGTTCTGAAATACAGGCACAGAGCACAATAGGCTTTTGGAAACATGAGGGCATTCATTGCCAAAACACACCTTGACCTGCTTAGACCTGACACTGCTTTAGGTGAAATGGATTTTCTCCATCATTTCTCATTTTGAAATTGCAACTCTTGGCCAATTCAGAGCTCATGAAGCTCATTCAGAAATCTGACACTTATCTGAGTATTCTTGTCTGTATATAACTTTTAAGTATTCAGTACAGTTTATTTCTGAATGATGCTCAGAATGGTTCAGAGTCGATTATGGTCTCTCTGTGTGAATGAAAGTTTATAATATATCTGGGATTTTTGGTGTTTGTATTCCAATTCTGGTATTTACTCTCATATTATTGCTTTATACATATATACTTTTAAAATGGTGGGTTTTCCCCCAATAGTTTTTAAAAGCTGCTATCAAAACTTCATCAATCAGCTGTGCAACAGCAGTTCATATGAATTCATTCATTTGAGTCAGCTGCTGGTTTAAATATTTTTAACTGCTTTTTAAAAAATATTAAATGTATTTTTAAAACCTGTTTTTAAGAGCCAGTGGCCTGACTAAGCCATCAGTTACCTGTGTACAACTCCCATAGAATTCTTTATTCTGGATACTGGTGATGAGATGAGCCACAACAGATTAAGTTTTATAGATTTATTAGACTTTAGTTTAACTTCTTTCCTTTTAACTCTATCTCTAAAGGAATGCTACACACAGTAAAGTCCATATAAGCTGATTATTTGGGCTAGGAAATAGAAAAATCTATTGTTGATGGTCAGAAGAGAATTTCCTCTGATTTTACATTTTTCCTCAGGTGTTTACAAGGGCAATGGTTGCCCTTCTCTGACATGAGAAACGGATAGGTTTAAGATGCTAGAGCTGTCCTCAAAAAGTTCCATATACAATGGAGCCTGGTATGCTTCTTATCTGAAACAATTATCCAAGTTCAGAATAGCTGTGTACTGAGTAGACAAGATGAAAAGTGAGGAAGGCATAGAGAGAGACTTCAGCAGATGCATTAGTCATGATAATGTCTTATGTCCACACTAGTTTGGAAGTATGTTTCTCACATATGCTGTTTTATCTAACACCACTTCTTTCCTCTTTCCTTTCAGATGAGCATTGCTGTATGCATTGGATTTTTTGCTGCCTGGAGCCCATATGCCATCATAGCCATGTGGACAGCCTTTGGATCCATGGAAGGGATTCCTCCCCTAGCCTTTGCTGTGCCAGCTGTCTTTGCAAAGTCCTCAACACTCTACAACCCAGTTACCTATCTTCTTCTGAAGCCCAATTTCCGAAGCACCCTTGCCAAAGATTTTGGAGTTCTCCAGAAATTATGCATCAGGACCTGTTTTTGCCTCAAGGCCCTACAGAGCTGCAGTTATAGGTCAGTTCTGGAAGTCCGCCTGAATTCATTTAAAGGGAGAAATGAGTCCAGCTGTAACTCGGTGCAGACTGTGGAAGGATGTTCTTACTTCCCTTGTGAAAAGTGCAATGATACTTTTGAATGCTTTAAGAACTATCCAAAATGCTGCCAGGAGAGGTTAAGCACTATGGAATGCACTCCTCGAGAAAGTGTGTCTTTGGAGAGTAGTCTCCAAGCAAAACAGAAGCAGGGTGCCAAGAAATCTGTAAAGGTAGTTGTTCAAGGAGAAGAAAGCACTCAAAATGATAACTTTGAAATCACCTTGGAAACAATACCTGCACACAGCAGATTTGCAAATCTTTAGAGTTTCATTTAAGAAACAATAATGTAATGGTACCAGACTTCTTGATGTAACCTTTTCTAAACAGCCCATCCACTGCCACTTTCTATACAGTTTTCCTGGTTCCCTCACCTGTCCTTTGATAGAATACCTAATGGAGCATGAACTTGTTAAAAAGAACGTTTGACTCTCACAATGCAGACTTCAGTAAGTATCTTGTGCTAACTGTATTCAAACAGTACTTACTTAATATTTATATTGCAGTGGTGCTCAGAGGCCTCTATCAGGATTGGGGTTGAATTGTGCTAGGTTCTGTATAAACCTACACAAAGCTGCAGTCTCTGTCCCAAAGAACTTGAAATCCAAGTAGTTAGTCTTACGTTCCTCAAGAGACACCACCCAAACCATCAGTGAAATAAACTGCATATGTTTAGTTATATAAATAATCATGTGGCACCAGCACATTTTGGTGAAGTTTCTATGGTGGTTCATAGGGAAAGTACTTGAATGCCAGTGTCCTAACCATTTAAACTCTAGCAGTGATTCTGAATCATCATCATCATCATGTTCCCATTACGCCTCTGGCGTTTAGGGCAGTGACGAAGCTCCTCCACTCGTGTCTGTTTCTGGCAAGTCTTTCAATGGTTCCCCAGCTGTGCCCCAGGTTTTTCAGCTCGTCTTCCACAGCTCTTCACCATGTTACTTTCAGGTGGCCTCGTTTTCGCTTGCCTTCAGGTGTCCATGTTATTGCTACTCTAGTGATGGAATCAGTTTCCATCTGAAGAACATGGCCAATCCATCTCCAACGTCTCCTGGCAATGATGGTGCTCAGATCCTCTTGGCTGCACTGTGTCAATAGATCTTGGTTTGAGATTGTTCTGGGCCAAAAGATACAGAAGATTTTTCTGAGGCGGGTTGTATGGAATGAAGAGAATTTGGACATGTCATACTTTCTCATTTCCTAGTATTCTGCACTGTAAAGTAATGTTGAAAATACACAGCTCTGATAAATCTTGAGTTTGGTTTTGGTGTTGTATTTTGATGGTTTCCAGACTGTATTCCCCCCTGAAATTCTGAGTAAACCGCTATTTAAATGGATGTTGTTGCAACAGATAGGATATAGCTTGTTGACTTGGGACCTATAGTGTGGCTTCTCATCCTCTGCTTAAACTGTCTCCCCCTTCACCCTCCATCTATTCCCATGTGCATGATGCTTTTGATGTTTTTGTTAGTTTCCCATAGTTGCAGAGTGTTTGTTTAAAATGACATGAGCAGCTGTTTGTTGCAGAGTACAAAACATTTAGCATGTATTAGAGAAAAAGCTCCCGTGTGGCTAAAACACCACGCCTCTTTAAGAGCCATGAACCCTATAAACAAGCTGTTTTGTTTTGTTTTGTTTTTTGAAGGATGTGCAAATTAAAACTGAAGTTTCGATTAGCATTTTCTCCAAAGTCTCTCAAGGCATGTTGTCAGTGATCGGAGCAAATCAAGGGCCCAGTCCCGCATCACTGAGGTTAAAGGAAGTTCTGCCATTGACTTCAAGTGGAATAGGATGAGGCCCTAAGGACTCAATACTGCAAAGGTTCATGTTTCTGCATAACTCTATGCACTGGATCAGCGTTCATGTCACACTCCCAGTCAGAACCCAGCCCAGGCTTATGGATCCTGGTCACATGTCACCTGATGCATGTTGCGCATACATGCTAAGAAGAAGACTCTATGCCTGTGGGTGTCGACATAGCATCTGGGAGGGTACTTCTCAGCCTCGGTAGACCCAGGCTAGCTCTGCTCGAGCTGGCACGCCAAAAATAGCAGTGTGGCCACGGCAGCATGGTGGCAGTTTGGGCTAGGCGCCCTAATACAATGCCAGCGGACTCCCCCGGGGGATACTCAGCTAGCCTGAGCTGCCCCCTGTGCTGTTGCAGCCACACTGCACACAGCAGCACTGTGTAGATATACCCTATGAGTAGCCCTACTGGTTTCAATGAGATTTCTTACTGCATGCACACAAGTCTCTATAGGACTGGGGCCTTAGGTGATTGGCTCGCTTCAATGAGATGAAATACCTGTATGTTGTGATTAACTGGAATATGATAAGAATGCAGGACTAGATAAAACAGGAAAAAACAACTCCGTTAACCCACGCCTTCAACTGAAAACACATGTTGGGGGAGAAAATAAGAGTAGTTTGCACTATACAGTGTCTATGTTCTCTGGAAAATTCATGAGTATTTATACAATGGTTATTATATAATGTAAAGAAATCAAGTTAATGTATCACTGTTTCTTCCCTCCAAGTCTGCTTTGGAGTGCCTGAACTAATCATAAGTTTTGAGTGTGGAGTAAAACATTTGCTTAAAAATCAACATGTCACTTTCAACTTTTCTTTTCTCTACAGTTCAGATTTCAGATGACAGGTAGAACATTTTTTGTTTTACAATGAACGTTGAACCCTCGGCTTATTTCTTTTTGGAGTTAATAGGAGCAGGATTGTGCCTTTGAAGAGAATTATGAAGCAATGCCCAGTGTCCACAAGCAATCAGACTGACAGTCCAATTCAGAATTCTGTTTGTTGTTTGAAAAAAGTTTTTCTTCTTATGTTAAATGCTTTTACTGGTGTGATCAGTCACACAAAATTCTCCCCAACCTGTCTGCCTTTGGATTGGTCCATCCATCATTTTCCGGAGTTAGACTATTTTTATGAGTTACTTGCAAATAAATGTATTTGCAAATCATGATGCTGCTGATTACAGGGTCGTCTTGTCATTATTTATTATAACCTTATGAAAAACTCTGGTGTCAATTATTGGAAGAAAAAAACTTCTGTTTTTCCAAGTGAAACAATAAAAGGAGTGATATCATCATATCTGGGGAGTGAATTCATACTTATTGTTGCTGATGGTCTGGTGCGATTTTTAAACACATTGAGTAAAATCAACTTTCAAGGACAGGTTTCAGAATAAATGTCAGTAGTAACAGCAGTAGTAGTAAAAGGAAGGGGATTTCTGGGCAGGTGGTAGTTTTTCATGCCCAACACGAAGAAACTAGTGTAAAATGTCATGCCTATCTACAGAAGTTGGTAGAGTAAAGGATATTACCTCACTAATGTCCTGGGCTCAATATGGTTACAACAACACTGTGAAATACCACACTTCTCAAAGTTTTTTTTTAACATTTTGTAAGAGAATATGGTTGCTCGGGATATTTGTAATGGAATATGAAGCCTTTGGCTCTCAAGGTCACCAGTTCAAATCTGACCCAATCAGAAGAGATTGAAAGTCATTACCATCTGGTGGCTGTTTGGAAGGTTTGGTGATACAAATGGGTGATCTCAGATCCTAACAGATGGCTAACCTCATCACACACACAGATGCTATCACAACTGCCATGAAATGGCACTTTTGTTGTCAGGCAGGTGGCTAGTAGGAATGATTGATGTTAACATTACTGGTTAGTTTAGATCTTTAAAAACAAACACCTTTGATTTGAAACAAGCTGATGATTATGCACAAGATTATAATTGTTATAAAGAGGACAGTAATCAGTTTTTCTCCATGTCCACTGAAAGCAGGACAAAATAAGCAACTTAGTTTCTAGCACAGACAATGTAGGCTAGATATTAGGAAAAACTTTCTGACTATATGGATAGTTAAGCACTGGAACAGGTTATCTAGATAAGTTGTGGAACCCCATCACTGGAGGTTTTTAACAACAGCTAAGACAAACACCTGTCAGGGATGGTCTAGATATATTTAGTCCTGCCTCAGTGAGGGGGCAGAGGCTGGACTAGATGACTTCTTGACATCCCTTCCAGCCCTATGTTTCTGTGATTCTATGACAGCTAGTCTATGTAACCACATGAAACTATTACCCTCATCCTCCCTCTCCCAGACCTTCCATTTATTTGGTACATTTACTTGTTATGTCTTTGTGTTAAGATAGGTTGTACATTCTTTGGGCAGGGACTGTCTCTTGGTATGTGTTTTTACAATGGATCTCCAATCCTGCCTCAGAGTCTCTGGACCCTGTTATAATAAGAATAATAAATAATGATCGTGTCAAGGTCAAGGACTGAAAGAGCATAGAGACTCAGGGTAGGTCTACACTTATGGTGGCATATAGAGTACAGACACTGTATGCCCTGTTAGCATGGATATAAATAGCAGTGTAGATGGTGAGGTGCTTAAGTTGTATAGTCAATTGCTTGATCACACACTGATACATTATGAAATATACTCAAGAGCCCAAATAACTGATGTCAGTCAGGTTTGCTAATGTGGTACAGGCAAAAGGTTCTATACGATACCTGTGTCCGAAGAGCTATCCTGTGTGGTGATGTTATATTCACCTGACACAAAGTTACACCCCATAAGCCATCTTTTTATACCCCACTTGTTTTACCAGTAAAAGGTACTATATATGTCATTTGAAACTGGATTCAACCCATCAGCTTTTTACCTTGTTCTTCTGGTACCCTGGTGTACACCTTATCATTGTTTTGAAAGCATGCATTCCAAGTCATGATGTACCTTCATTTCTGTACATTCCAGGTACTAAGGAATGTGAAGGTACCTCCTAGGCCTGTACCAGGGTAAACAGACTTGTGAGTGTAACTTCCTTTCTGTTGCTATGAAGAAATAACCATATGTTTTGATACTGACACTTTTCCCATCTACTTAAGCCAAAGTTTACTTCAGCTAATGGAAGGTGTTATGGGATATGTAGCATAAGTGAACAGGATTATAATAAAGGTGCAGGCCAATTTGGGCTATCTAACTACTATATCTATGCTTAATAATATTTGTTTTTAATGCTTAAAATATGGAGAGAGTGCAGATAATACCTTTTATCAGCTGTTTGAGTTTGACTTCCACCTCAGATGTGGTACTTTCTGCCTCCATATCCTTGTTGCTATTAGTGACCCTAAGCTTTTTAATCTCTGCCCCATCCTCAGTGCTCAGTGGTCCCACACTTCCTTGCTTTCTTTTTATTTATATGGCTATAGAATCCTTTGGTTTTAATTCCCTTTCCAAGTTCCAATTCTGCTTGGCTTTTAGCAGTTCTCACTTTGTTCCCACACTTTCTGACCTCCAAGAGGCAGCTTTCTTTGCTGATCCCTCCCCATCTTCCATTCCCTGTAGGCTTTCTGCTGTCTCTTAATCATCTGTTTGAGATTCTTGCTCATCTATCTTGGTCTGAAACCCTTCCCTATTAATTTTTTTCTCCTCGCTTAGGATACAGGCTTCAGATAGCTTCTACAACTTTGACTTAAAGTAATTCCAAGCCTCCTTCACATTCAGATCCTTGAGTTCTTCACTCCAGTCCACTTCCCTAACAAATTCCCTTAATTTTTTTAAAGTTTGCTTTTTTGAAAATCAAGGACCCTTGTTGCAGATCTATTTTTGTTTATCCTTTCATTTAGTTTAAACTGAATTAGCTCATGATCACTCGAACCAAGGTTGTCCTCTATAACCAGTTCTTCCATGGAGGTCCTCACTACTCACCAATACCAAATGTAAAATGGCATCACCTCTCGTTGGTTCAGCAACTCTTCGGTGAAGAAATCTTTCAGCTGTCATATCCAGGATAATCTGGATTATTATTATTATTATTTATTATTTTATTTTATTAGCACTTATCCTCCTTATCTGGGAAGTTAAAATCTCCCATAATTGCAAAATTCCCAGAAGGATTTATTTAATTAAAAACATTAAAGAGGTCTCTATCCATATCCAAATCAGATCCTGGTGGTCTGTAGCACACCCCAACCACTGTATCAGAGGAACCTTTAATCGCTTTCTTCCCCAAAGTGATTTTGACCCAAACAGACTGTCTTATACATTCCATCTCTTCTAATTTCTTTACAGTGTACTTTATCATTAATATACAATGCTACTCTGCCACCTTTGCCTTTATTTCTGTCTTTCCTGAACAGCACATGCCCTTCAATACCTGTACTTCTGTCATGACTACTATTCCACCATGTTTCTGTTATCCCTATATCTGGTTTCACTTCCTGCAGCAGTAGTTCTAGTTCCTCCATTTTGTTACCCAGGCTCCTTGCTTTGGTGTACAAGCATCTTAATTGTTGCTGCTTGGCTTCGCTCACATTCCTCCCCTGATTGGGTGCAGTCATTCTTGTGCTAATTATCACCTATCTGACTAGTATCAGCACTATCCTTCCTCTTAAACTCCATTCTCCTACCCACTGCTGTTCCTTTCTCCAGTGATGTATCGGATGCCCAACCAGAATTGGAATTTTAAGTGTCTTTACTGTTGTTCCCTGCTGTATATATTGTTTGTTATTACCACAGCATCTAGGAGCTCCAGTCCTGGACCAATCCCTACTGTACTAGGCAGTATAAAAACACAGAACAAAAAGGTCCCTTCCCCCAAGGAATTTATAGTCTAAATATGAGACAAAAGACAACAGATAGATACAGGCAGATAGGAGTACAAGGAAACAGTGAAACACTGTTGATCAGCATGATAGCCAATAGTCTCTGCACACCAGCAGTCTAACTGTTGTCAAGTTTTCTAATAGTCATCATGGGACTGGAGAGTTCTGAGGAGGGATTAGAAGGTCAATAAAGAGGTGGCTTTGCAGATGTTCTCAGGGGCTCCTCCCAAGCATGAGAAAAGGAATGAGAAGCATGAACAGTAGAGGATACTCTGTGTCTTTTGTATACTACCACATATATTGCTCCAGTATGTAAGAGACGGTGATTTGTCTTCGTTCACTTTCCGTATTTTATGGAATCCTAACAAGGATTGTGCTGTTGTTCTGTTTGTTTATTTGATTCTCAATGGGGTGTCTTTGCTCTGGAGTTGAGATGTTACAGAAGCAGTTAATACAGGGGGAGCAAATATTGTAGAGTAGTATATTAAGTGAGAATCCAGTTTACAATTATTAGATATATGAAAAATGGTCTTTTGGGAAAGCTGAATTAACCTTGCACATTTTTGAAGGTTACCATATGCCCATTTGAGATTATACAGAGATATGAACTTTTTATGCAATTTAACCATATTTTGCACATAGTACCACCTATTCCAATTTTTAATTGGGAATCCAGAATGACTGGGTTGTGATAAATCATTAGCAATGACTGCATATGTTTCTACTGAGCTGCAGAGGACAAGTTGATGTTTAAGAGCTGGAAGGAGAGACAAGGCCTGATTCACAATTCTGTTACACTGGCTTTCTGCTGATGTAATTCCACTGGCATAAACCAGTATAACACAGTGGAGGATTAGGCCATATAAATTCTTGATTCTTATGGCATTAATTAAATCATTTCTGAAGTAAAACAGCATTCATTGACCCAGTAAATTGTTTTGGCACAGTACATAGGACTTCATGTTAAAAACAACAGCCCAGATTTCAGCCTGCACCAAGGGCTGCTTAGGAAAGATTGTGGTGACTGTCAGGTTGCCTTGACACCAGACCTGGGGTAATTTAGAGCAGCTGTTCTTATTTATACCAGTTGGCTATGGTTCCCAAGGGACTGCATGCCATTTGCAAGTAGGCCAGATCTGGTTTAAAATTTCAAATTAAAATGATTATTGATTGAAAAATTGGTTTTCTGCAAAAAATGGACATTATCATAAAAATTCCCTTTTTTTGATAAAACTAAAAGCCTCACTTTTTTTTTTTTTTCAGTTTTCCTCCCCTTTTCTCAATCAAACTAGCATGCTAAAAAAGAAGGTAGCTGCCACAGCACGAATGATGAAAGGTACTAGACGTCCCAAATATGTACCTAACATCTCTGACAGTCTTGGGGTGGCTAGCTCCCCTCACACTGCTGTGACTACCCTCTATTTTTAATGTGCTAGTTCAGTCAGAGCTAGCCCAGGTATGTCT